CCTTACTTAGTTAGGATTTTGGTTCCTTACTATGTTAGGATTTTAGTTACTTACCATTTATCTAGTCATATTATAATTGATATTTATTTTTATTATAATTTATATTTACTTCCTATTGTAATTTAGATATATTTCCTATTTTATTTAGGATTAACACATCTTTGTACTTATATAAATACCTCCATAGTGGAGAAGAATAAAAATATGAGTCAATATAAGCCAATATGAGCGTATCTTAGCATAACTGAATATTTGCCTTACTTTGTTTAACATGGTATAAGAGCCTAGGTTTTTCTTGTGATCTATTCTTGCGTTCTCTTTGAAATTAAAGTACTCTCCTCCCCAGGAGGGGAGGGGGAGTGAAAGAGATATGTTTATTGACATATCCCAATTACCTTGACATATTCCCATGAAGATGTTGCTTATTTCTTGACTCTGACGACCCCTTCTCTTAAAGATGGTTGCCTAAGCAAATGGGCCTTTTGTGAAACATTGGGCCTCCTGATTTGGGCTTATTTTTTTGGTTGGGTTATCTCTTGGTTGGAGGAGTGAAGGGAAGTTGTGTCTATGTGAATTTGCTAACGTTTAAATGGAAGAATTTATTGTTGTCATTGCCACAATAGGAGGAGTGAAGAGAAGTTATGTCTACGTGAACTTGCTAAAGTTTATATGGAAGAATTTATTGTTGCCGTTGCCACTACTATCACCATTGATGTTGTTGTTGCTGTGTTCTGATTCGTCTCTACCTTAACCCTAAACACTACCTATTTCTGTTGCACTATACACCTAGCCTATAATCCTAGCCCTCCGCCGCTATCTATCTTGCTACCGTGTTGCCGCATACCTTGCTACCGTCGTGCCTGTTTCTCAAGTATCACTGCTCATATGTGCTTCATCGACCCCTTCTCTTCAAGGGGAGAGGGGAAGTGAAGAGAAGTTGTCTCTGTTGTTGCTGCTACTACAGTTGTTTGCTTAGGGGGAGTGAATTAAAGTTGTCTCTGTTGTTGCTGCTTCCACAGTTATTTGTCTTGCCTTGTCTTGCTGGTCCCAGTGCCTTATATTGCTCTTGCTGGTGCCAGTGCCTTGTGTTGCTCTTGATGTTGTCAGTTTTGTTGTCTCTTACTGGGGACATTGTTGTTGTTGCTTTTACCGTGTTCATGCCTTTGCTGGTGTGTTTCCGTTGTGGTACCAATATTGTTGCTCCTGCCTGTTATGGTGCCAATATTGTTGCTCGTGCCTTATATACTACTGTTGCCGTGCTCACAAGGGTTCTATGTTCTGCCTTACCTACTATCGTGCTCACAGGGTTTCTGTGTTCTGTCTTATCTACTGTCGTGCTCACAGGGCTTCTGTGTTCTGCCTTATATGCTGCCGTGCTCATAGTGTTCTGCCTTATTTACTACCGTGCTCACAAGGTTTCTGTGTTCTGTCTTGCCTATTGTTATACTCACAGGGTTTCTGTGTTCTGCCTTACCTATTGCCGTGCTCACAAGGTTTCTGTGTTCTACTATGTGCCCTATTTTTTCTGTGTTCTGCCTTACATACTGCCGTGCTCACAGGGTATCTGTGTTCTGCCTTATCTATTGCAATGCTCACAGGGTATCTGTGTTCTGCCTTACCTATTGCCGTGCTCACAGGGTTTCTGTGTTCTGCTATGTGCCCTATTTTTTAGGGTTTGCTCTTGTGTTTCCACTGCAAACTTTGCTTTAGTTTGTCACTTGTTTCACTCGTGGTTGACTAAAAGACCTTCTCTACAATTTGTGCTCTCAAGTATGGTGTTCTGTGACTCGCTTGTCAAGTTGGGCCTACGAAATATCTTTGCTCAACTTGAGAGGGAGTGTTGGCCAGTCCTTACTTAGTTAGGATTTTGGTTCCTTACTATGTTAGGATTTTAGTTATTTACCATTTATCTAGTCATATTATAATTGAGATTTATTTTCTATTATAATTTATATTTACTTCCTATTGTAATTTAGATATATTTCCTATTTTATTTAGGGTTAACACATCTTTGTACTTATATAAATACCTCTATAGTGGAGAAGAATAAAAATATGAGTCAATATAAGCCAATATGAGCGTATCTTAGCATAACTGAATATTTGCCTTACTTTGTTTGACAAATTTCACCAGGCAAGGGCTAGGGCATTGGATGGCTTTGCGCTTGGGGGGCAAAGTTGGGGGATGGGATGGGTTTAGGTCTTGGGGGCAAAGTCTGGGGATGGGTTTCGGCTAGGGCTTGGAATGGATCTCGAGTGGGGATGGGTTTCAACTTGGGTTTTAGGGTTTAGGGTTGATGAGGTTGCTGAAGGAGATATAGCTGGGGGAGGGGGGGTTGGCGATAGGTTTGGTTCAGTGTCTTTTTCTTCTTATTCTTCTTTTTTTTTTTTTGGGTTGTTGTCAATTTTCCTTCTTCTTTTTTTCCCTTTTTTTTTCAAAAAAAATAAATTTTTAAGATGATTTAACTGAAAAGTGGATGAAATGTTGAGGATTTAGACGGTCGGGGGGAAATTAGCCAAAAAAAGAAGTTCATATCCTTAATTTTCTATAATTAAAAAAAAAGAAAAAGATAAGGAGTGAATCGAAAGTTAGGTATAAGTTCAGGGGGCAAATCACTATTATACCCAATTTAATATATTATCTTAGAGTTTGGGTACATCATAGGTAGTTAATGCAGAAAATTCTGATTGAACTGAGTGGTGAGAACATTGACAAGCTGGTTCTCAAACATATACATAAATTACAGTCAAGTATCTGATAGATTTATGGAAAACAGATCAAAGGATAGAATGGAACATCAGACAGCATTCCGGCATTTCAACTGCATCCAAAGATCAATATAAACAGAAACTTATGATCAGTATTTGAAAAAAAATAATCTAAGTTTAAGTTAATGGAATGGAAGATGTAAGACGGAAGAAATAAAAGATCTTACACAAGTTGGAGAGCTGTCTGGTCATGGCGAGAGTAATGGTTATTATTATTATTATTGGCCTCCAAGATTACAGGGAGGAAGTTCCTGTCGTATGACTGTGAAGGCATTGACTGATCATAAGAAGTTCCTTGAATCATATTTGTTTGCTGCTGTTGTGCCCTCTCATTTTCAGCTATCTGTATGTACCATGCATGCAACCTTAATTAATAATTCGTATCAATAAACTAAGCATCTTAAGTAGTCTAATTAATTTTTTAGTGTGGCTTAATTACGTGGTTGAAGAGAGAGAGAGAGAGAGAGAGAGAGAGAGAGAGACCTTTGCTCTCAGATAATTGTTATGGTTTTGCAGCTCGATCTCCTGCACAATGTGCACATAATATTGGTTTTTCAGAACAGCAGGATTTGAGTTTCATTTTAAGAATTTGCACAAAAAGAGTCTTGTATTATTGTAGAAATAATGTAGTGCAACTTCATGCTAGAGAGTAAGAGAGACAAAAGTTACCCTCTTTTGCATAAATTCGATTTCAGCAAACAGCATTTCATTCTGGGGACACATTCGATCACGTCAGTTGAGATTCTGAGTGTAGATAAAAAGTGAAAAACTTCAACAAATTTCAAATCAAAGTAGGGAAGTGCACTACCTTTTTGGATCTTATTCTGCTGATCCCTTTCTCCAGTCTTCCTTCTAGGTTCTTGAGTTCCTTGATGTTCAAAGTGCTAAGAGCTTCACCCAGTATATGCCTGGAGACAACATAAATTATTTTATCATAATACATTGCAGATATTAGATGAACATATACCTTAATAAAATTATTCATAGTTCACCGGTTTGAGTTCTGGATTTCGCGAATCTGTCTTCGTGAGGCCATGCATGTTGTGACAGCGTTAGAAAAACCCATATATAAATCCAAGTTTGACAATCAACCTGTTAACTGAACTGTTTCAAACATTTTCTTAAAATGATTGGCAAGGGGGTTATACTCTATCAAACCATCCTAAATTAATCATCTAGCTATATAGGAGAAAAGGAAGCTTATTAATTTATATAAAAACTACTAGTTTAGACTGATGCTAGAAAGTTTCGGCCTAAATATGGGTTTGTAAGAAGCCAGATTATTAGGGTTTCATTCAAGAAATATATGAAAATTTCTTGCAAGCATGCTAGAACATATCTTCTTTGGAACATACACCCTTAAAAAATAAAAATCATTGTCTAAATAGAGTTTACCTGAGTGTTAGCTTCAGAAACAGATCCACCATTCGTAGAATCAGTACATGCTTTTTTGTACCTATCAATCGTTGCTCTAACGCTGCAAAGTGAAAGAAAAAAGAGAAGAAAGTTAAAACCTTACAATCATTTTGTTTGGTTAAAAAACATTATGATTTTCAACGGAATTGCTTATCCTCAAAGGCACCCTTAATAAAATGAAGGATAGTTCAAACTAGATATAGAAGGAATGCCACAGAATCCCAATGAACTTCAAGTTAGAATTGTTCAATATGAATTGGAAAATAAAATTCATATATAGTTACATATGAATGTGATTTATTCAAGCATATTTGTACAGAATTATGCACTTGTGTAGCAATTAGATGCATAAATTAGTGGCACCTAAGCATTGTTGCCCTACAAAGGGATAAGCTAGACGCTAGAGGCCAACCATAACACATCATTTTCAGTCAAAGATAGCTGCCGCACACATCCAGAGACACCAAAAACCTATTATTGTCTTGTTCTCTTCTCTCTTTTGTGCAATAATTAGTCTCACCATGCATGATTGCAAATTTGCAGTGTAACAACAAAACAAAACAAAAAACCCCAATAATCCGTGAAGCTTTTACATATTTTCTTCATGAAACATCATCACATCCTTGTTTTCAAGCAACATAGGAGCCAAAACAAATTTATTGGTTTAAGGATTTCTGAGGCTTGGTCGTGTGGAGAGCAATTGTGGACTTTGGTTCTTGAAGATCAAAGATTATTGCTTTTCATGAAGGTAAAATTCTTAACATCCTCATCTGTATTTTAGATGTTATTGGATCTCATAAAAGAATTGAGATTCCAATATGTGTTGTCTTCTTTCCATTAAAACCTTACCCTAGACACATACACATACACACACACACAAAATCCTGGCCCTAACTAGCTAGCCTTTAGAGCTCATGAAGAGATTAGAAGCCGATCGTAACATAATCCGACGAATAAGTAAACTACACATTTTCTTCTTTTTTATGAGAGTAAATTAAATACACTAAATAGATTGTTCCAAATAATCAAGAACAGTAAATATGGATGCCCTATACACAGTATTGAATATGAACTAACATGATCTTTTGTTATGAAGTTAGTAATAAGAAAAAGTCTCAGAATTCAGCAAAATAATCAAAAGCTCCAAAAACACACACACATCCACCCAAAGACACAAACAGTCAGAGACAAAAGCACCATTGGAGAGCATAACAAGAAACTGAATTTCTTTCTATGTCTTTCAGTGAATTTGTAGCCCATATACGTACACCATAATAGTTTCCATTTTTAGTTGAAACTTTCTCCGCTGCTTTGGATAGAGCAAGCTTAAAGCTGTACCATCAAGGATTTTCAACTCAAACTATGGGAAAGAATATTTTTTTTCTTGCATAATTTTAAGCAGTTTTGACATATAACTTTGAAGAACAACTTATTTCAACAATATTAATAATGAACCATATTTGATCATGTCCTACTTTTCACATGCTCTCCTGAGATAAACATGTTTAACTGATATTATATGAAAGAAGTCACTGTTCTTTCATTTCTTGATCTCATACTTTATGAATTCTTATAGAATTGCTGGTTTATTTCTTGGTTTGTTTTTTTTTTTAATGCATTTCATAAATTGAGTGATTTTTAATGGGATGTAAGAATGATGAATATAGTCAACAAACAAGAAAGTTTTAGTTTTAATTAATTTATGGTTTAGGAGATATATACTCCTCTCAACTGTAAAATGACACGACCCAAACATGACATAACAGGAGTTGATTGTCAATAGTCCAATTTCCAACTTCAACAAACTTACACTAGTTTTCCTTAGATAGAATTCATCTTGATAATGTACTTCTTTAGAAGATTATGCACCAAGCATATGCAAACACTTCCATAAATAATATTCCAACATAGCACTAACATGAAATTTCCCAATCATTGGATTTTGGGATGTATTTAGAACTACCAACTAACTCTTAGTTTAGTGGTACTTCTTTACTCAATGTTGGAAGAGGTCTCAATTTGAAACTAACTCCCCCTTAATAGATATTTCCTAAATTAATTATACATATTATATCTTTATATATAATTCTTCACCAGAAAATACAATATTAAGCATGTGAAATTCGAAATTTATAAATAAATGTTTATGTAGGGTGCATTCCTCTCTCTTTCATGGTCACAACAAGAACCTTTTTAATATTAGTTCTTTTGCTATTTGTCTCATAGCACAAATCTTTAAAAAAATTCATTAATAAAATTAATACAAAAACAAAACCAGTATGACCAATTATTTTATTTAGAGAATAACACAATAAAATTGCTATAACACATGAATGCATAACATCACATGACAGTATGACCGTCACACTCAAAAACTCCTGATAAAATGTTTACATATTATATAAAACTTCCCAAAAATACAATGTATTCTTAAAGGTATTAAAACCTTTTGAAGGGTCATGGTCAGACGTGGCTCCACAACAGTTAATATAGTCCTGTAGTTGATGTTATACGACAGAACTGAACCAAATTAAGTATTTCACTATACTCTTGGAGACTTTGTTACCTTAATTTCGTCGAGCCAGTGATTGGTTGCCTCTGCCATGCTGGCAGAAGATCCCCAAATATGATTGGCTCGCCTCTCACAGCCTCTAATCAACACCACGTGTCAGTAGCCCATTACACAGTGGGCAATACCCAGAGGAACAGTCTCATACTCACCTCGATGATCCCAAAACCCCAAAAGACCCCGTAAATATTACCAAGTCTCTGGTATTAAACAAGTGATTTTTTTTATGGGAGTTTCACTAAAACACCCAAAATGGGAGTTGAAATTATAAAAAAACCCAAGCACTATTTAAACATATAAACACACCCAAAACCCATCATTACACACACTCAAAATCCATTTATAAATACACCCAAAAAGTTGACTTTGGGGTTAATTTTGGGTGTGTTTCTATGTTTAAATAGTGCTTGGGTTTTTTTATAAATACATGTCTAGGATTGGGTTTATTTATAAATTTGTATTTTTTTATTCAAAGATCTGAAAAGAATTTATTTCCTTTTATGTCTCTGAAATCTCAGAGACAGAGATGTCTGTTTTGGCAGCCATTTTTTGGCATTTTTCTTCCCACACTTTATCTTTATCATTCACCAAAAGGGTTATGCAAGCCCTCCCTCTTATTGGCTCGTACCTCCTCCTCCATTCCTCAGTCATTTCAGACTTTAATTCATTCAAAACCTCTCTCTCTCTCTTTCTCTCTCTCTCTTCACAAGAGTCGCAGTCACTAATAACTTTTCTTGGCTCTGTAAAAACCATAAAACAATGGGTTTTTTGACACATCAAAATTTGAAGCATGTGTTTAAGACTCTTTTATGATTCTTGAGGAGATTGTTTCCACATAGATGAAAGGCACTCTATGTGTCATGACTCTCTTTTCTCTTTCTGTCCATAGATTATAATAATAATGCTGTTTTTTCACCACATCAACTTAAAAGATAAAAAAAAACAAAGTGAAGATATTGGATAAATGGTAGAAGAGAAGATGGATTGAAGAAAAAGAATCATCATGACACAACGGCTTCTTTGTCCGGACTGATCAAGAACAGAAACATCATGTCTGACGTGACCAAAGATTCGTAAGCTGTAACTACACAGCTCACACAAGAAACCCTAGGCACATGCTTCCCCTATATATCCCAACTCCAAATTTGTTATATGTACTAAATAAAGGGTAGATTGGTCATAAATAATAACACCCACTGGATTTTGGGTTTTTGAAACCCTAAGCATAAGATCTAGACAAAACTTTAGACTATTAAGCTATGAACCTATTTTTTCAGACTTACAGCCGACTGATGAAGCATGGTTTGGCTGATTTCTAACTATAAAGGTGATGAGGTTTAGTTCAGGCAAACTGGTTAAGGTTTGAATAAGAGACATTAATTTCAGTTTTTTTCACCCCTAAGCTTCCATTTGATGGGTCCTTACTTTTACTGTCTAGCTGAGCTGACATATTACTTAGGAAAAGTCAAGACATGAAAGGAACTGGCTAATGAGAGCTGGACAGCTTTGTGAGGCAGACGTACTTATGATGGAGTGACGGATGACATGTGAGAGAGAGAGAGAGAGAGGACCTGGCTGAGTTTAATAACAATGGAGATACAAGGAAGCTGATCTATAACAGACCTGCAACTCTTGGCAACCCTAAGTTTGCTCTCATAATACACTACTACTTCTGTTTCTATCTGTTACCAACAGATCTGCAATCCAGTCAAACAAAGAACTGGCTAGAAAGATTAAAATTTCAGGTTGATAGGTGAAATATACCTCAAAGCTCATAAAGGAAAACAAACAGAAAGAAGAAAGTAAAGACTAATGGATTTTTTCTAGGGCCACTTTACTCATCAAGCTTCACCTAGACACAAAATCAGAAAGAACAAGTCAATCTTAACTTCTCATAGACTCTCTCTTCATATTTGCTACAAAAAATCCAAAGAAACAATCTTTGGAAGAGAGCTGTTAGTGAGATTTCAGAACTGAATTTGAGCAACCAAAAAAAATAAACAAGTTATAGTAAAGTAAAGCTATTTATTTATATATAGATCATTGAGTGAACTGAAGAAAAGACTTAGAGATCAGATCAAAAGAAGGAGAAGAAGAATAGGCTTATAGAGAGAGGTTGAAGTACTAAAACAAAAATAATTAAAGAAGAGAAAATTTGAGTGCAAACCTGTTGTTAGCATACTCATACAGGCGGCCACGGGTAGAGAAGACAATAAGAGCAACTTCAGCATCACATAGAACAGATAACTCATAGGCTTTCTTAAGCAAGCCGTTGCGGCGCTTGCAGAAGGTGACTTGTCGATTTGTAGTGTTTTCAATCCGCTTAATCTCAATCTTGCCTCTTCCAATTTTTCTTTGGGAAGAGCTCTCAGGTGCTTGATTTGGGAACTCCATTGTTGCAAAGATGGGAAAAAAAAATGGCAAAAACCCCCAAGTTGAATTTTGGTTTTTCTGTTAGCTAGCAAAGAAAAACACCACTGTCCAATTAAAAGGTATGAGCAATTGTGACAACCATATTGGTAATAAGTAATAGACAAAGATTAAGCCCACCAATAGCCAATTAGTAAAGGAAACCAAAACAAAGCATGTAGCTAGGGATATGCAAAAGAAGAATTACTTGTTGAGTTGAGTGATCTTTTGGTTGAAATGGCAACAGGAAGAGTTGCAGAAGTTGCAAGTGGGTTTGGTTAAGGAGATGGATATTTAAGGACAGAGAAAATAGACGTCCCAACCATCACCCAACACCCTCTATTATTTGCTTTGTAAGGATAGTCTAGAATACCAAATATGTATCCTTAGCTAGCTTTAGGTTGTTATGTAGGAATTTAGGAGTATAGGAACATATATATAAAGAGGGATGGAGAAGATTGAATTGAAGAGGAGGGTTTGGGGTGTTTTGCTTTCATGCTTCATGAGCCGTCCATTTCTTCATGTATGGGGAAAAGGGGAAGGTGTGTGTGTGTGATGTTGATAAAAAGGTCTTTTGGAGAGTGACTTATTATTATGAACAGAGCTTGAATTAATGGGACCCTTCGCTAAGTTGCACTCAAGAGCTTCAATTCTTAAAAAGAAAGAAAGAAAGAAAGAAAGAGGGAAGGCCATGGTCTTTTGAAGAGAAAAAACAAAATGAGAGGACCTCCCATGTTGTTTGCTTCTTGGATTTTTGAGTTGGCCTTTTATTCTAGATTTGTTTATGACCTCACTGCTGTTGAAAGTTTTCATTTCACTCTCTCTCTCTCTCTCTCTCTCTCTCTCCTGCATTATTAGAACATATAGTTACTTACAAGGGTAGTAGTGACGTAACAGAAGAAGACTCCCATGTGATGTCCTGTGAAGTGTTCATGACAATCCCTTATCTTTTAGTTCATTTATGGTAAGAATGGAACAGGCCCTTTGATTCATTTGTGTTACCTGAAATTTACATCAATCTGGTATATATATTGAAGCCACAAAATGTAGGTCGCCTTGAGAGAGAGATTATACATGTAATAAGAATCCATGGTCACCCAAAATTAAAAATATTACTTGTTCATGATTGAAGGAGACTGTTAAGCACCAGGAATGTCTATTATATAACTGCAGTTTTTATTCAAAGTAAGTTTCTTAAACAGGGTTTTGCTCAGGAGCATCTCTCCACACATGTTTTTGTCCAACATTCAGTTATTTTCTCCCCATTTTATTTTCCCAAATACATATGTTCATCTCTCCTTCATATTTTTATCTCGTATGCCACTTCAAATTCATATCATAATGTATATAACAACTATTGGGTCTCCTGAGGTTAAACTCATGAGTTGATTAATATTCGAATTTGTTTCGTCTGTAAAATAAACATATGCATTTGACATGTTTGACATGGACGGCAAGACTATATATCCATCTCTACGGTGCCGAATTTCGTAGGATATCATGTTATGTATCCCAAGGGACCTTAGCCCTAGCTGCCTACCTAGCTAGCTCCTATGATACGACCGTGGACCTGATCAGTAGGCATTCTATATGCTAACAGACATACATGTAAGAATATATCAGATGTTTCCTCCGAGCATTAATATATAGCCACCATCCTATCCTAAAGGTGTTTCAGCCAGGCCACCAAGAAGTGAAATGTCATGACTTAGATATCATGATTTGATCAACCATATCTAAATAAATCTTTGGAAAATACTTGCCTCTTTTCTTGAAAGTAGGAACTCCTAATTTTCTGCTAAGTTTGACATGCGTGCACTGATATTCTTCTTTTTGTGTTTTTTATGAATTATTTTTGCATATGTGTCAAATTTTGATTTGCAGGAAGTAGGAATGCCTCCTTCCAGATAAGAAGGGAAGCAGTGTCCTAAATCTTTTATGTATGAAAGCTCATGATAATTTCTGAGTTCTAACTTGAAGACCGGCCACATGACAAACCACAAAAAGAAAAGAGAAAAAAGAGAGATATTATAACTTCCCATATGAAATTGTTATGGCAAAGACTTGCTCATCGAGCTGCAACAATTCAACTTTAAGTAAAAATTCCAAAAGATGAGTCATGTAGAAGATTGATATTTGATGAATCATGGTAAAGACAACCAAAGATGAGTTGGATGCCGAAAGAAGAAGAAAGATTTTGGGATGTGATATAACAATTAATGGAATCCATTTCTTTTACAGCCTTAGTGGAGAACTCTACACTTTTGTGGATCAACCACTTTTGCTAGTCTGTGAATTTTCTTACATCCACGGGAAACATGCACAAGTGCAACACAGCCACACACAAGCTGGGCTGAATCTTGATATTTCTCATTTTACATTGTTTTCTTGTTCAAGCTCATCTTACCTTCAACAACAAGAGCATACTAAACCATTAAATTAATTGCAATTATGCAAATTGCCCGAATTGTAGAAATTTTTTGACCAACTTTGAAGTCATAAGAGACCCTTCAAAAATTCTAGAAAATGTTACGTAGATTAAGGTCGCGCATGACTAAACGGAACAAAATTGACAACAAAGTGTGAAATCACAAAGGGGTAAGCGTCTTTTCCAGAGAGATACATCCACAGCATCCTCCATGTCAATTTATGTGCAAGTTGTGGGCAAAAGCAAAAGTTGACGCACACAAAGCTGAATAGGATCGATGCATTTCTAAATAAAATCACCTTTTGCTTTCTTTTGGAAGCATTGGAGACAGAGAGAAAGTGAGAGAGACCTAATCTGAAGTACAAGCCATAATTCATTGCAAAATTAATGGTCTTTATATTCCATATTGTGAAGGGGTGAGGAGGGACCACAAAATGATGTTCCATTTGAACTTTGGAAATGATGATGGTGAAAGAAGGCAGGTTTTCAATGCTTATACCTAATACAATAAATGCCACATACCCTCTGTCACATTCCTTCCACATAATAGGAATTGAAATGCTTGGAGTATAATCTATATGTGACAACATACTTAAAAGGACACTAGTGATTTTTTGCTCTAATTTTGATAATTTCATGTGCACGACAGAATATTGCATATGGCCTTGGTACAAATGTATGATGAGATTGCAACTGGGTAGGGTTTGAAGTTTGAACATTTCCTAACAAATTACGCATATCTTGCTTTATATAAATGAGCAATGCCTAAGAGCATCTGCAATAGTTAAGATCAATGCAATTTTATTGCATGAAATTTAATTAAAACACTAAAATATCACTTGCAATTGTGATTTAGTTCTTCGCAATAGATGCGGTTGTAATGGAGAGTGCTATGTGTTGAACCCTCTATTGCCATTGCAATAGACTAACCATGGGATCCACTTGCCAATTAAAAATATAAAAAATACAGCAATTAATGCATTATGCCGTTAATTCATTGAAATAGGCTAACCATGAGATCCACATCTCTATTGAATTTCATTATACCTTTCTTTGCCTTTATTTAAAAAATAATAATAATCCAAAATATACAAGTTAATTGGCATGAAATTATTATTATTATTATTTTAAATATATTCAAAATTGGTCTCTTTTTAAAGATCTCTTTGAGAATATTTTAATGGTCGTACAAATTTTTAGTGTTATTAAATTTATCCATTTTATTTTATTTGAGTATGAAAAAAAAACATATAAGAAAATATAACTACTGATCTAAAGCTATTGAACTGTACCATTGCAAGTGAAAATGCAATTTAATTCAATAGATGTTAAAATAGTACAATTGATTCAACTATTGCATTGAATTATTAAATCCCAACTCTATAATTTTTATTTTTAGGTTTTTTTTTTTTAAATGAAAGTGGTAATATCAACTTTCAATAACCATTTAACAAAAATTAGAAACTTTGAGTAAACATGTGAAACATTTCACATTCTTAAGATTTGATGGTGCCGGCGGTGATAGTGATGACCACATCGTTATGTTTTGCTGAGGAAATGGTAGCCCAAATAACATACGGTCAACATAAAGCATTTATTCCAATTTGACGTCAGCTAAATTCTCCAACCAAAACATGAAAAGGGTTGAAAAAGGTTTTGTTTCTTTTTTCGATACAACCGTTATGGAGGAAGGGGGAATTAATCTTAGAACTTCTAGTGTATGGATAAATACTCTTAACCGCTTTAGCAAATCAGTTTTTTGATAGAAACCACAAGTTTTTGAAAGGTTGCTGAAACATGGGCTCATTGGGCTTAATTTCAATGGAAGGTTGCTGGGTGTCTTCTGTCAAACTTCATGAACAGAGACCACTTGTTTTTTAAATGCAGCTTTTGTCGCATGCTGCTGCCTACGAGTACTTGAGGGCTGTCAGCTTACCTACTATCCTCAAAGTTGGGAGACAGATTTTTAGTGCCCTGGGAATCTCTAAAACAAAGCTTTCTTCATGGTTTTTTTCTCAAGCTATTAGAATTAGAGTTTCTTTTATTGTTTTTTTTCTTTTTTTCTTCTTGTAGACCAGGTTTTGGTTGAGCTTTACTTTCTGTTGTTTTTTGGCTCTGCTTTTGAATTTGTACTGTTGTTAATCTTTGATTGAATATATTCTTACCCATAAACTAGGTAAACATACCACAATCTGTTCACTTTTTCCCTTTCTTTTGGCTTTAAACAGAAAGCGACCAAGTTCCAAAGTATGGACAGAATGCTTTTCAAAAAAGCCCATTTCTTCCATCAGAACTTCAACTGCAACACAAGTTAAAAGGTAAAACAGTAATCTGGAAGAAGAAAAAAATTACCAGAGAACTTCAATTGTATTAACATATCAGACAATGCGGTAAAATTGGGTATTAACTGCGCACAGAAAGTATCTGAGAGAAGGAACTTTATCATGTGAATAACTTGCCAAATTGTAAACCTTTCATCCACACTAAACATGGCATGATTAGAAAGAAAATCTACAAGAAAATTGATCAAAGATTCTCCACAAGTAAATCTTCCGATTCAAATAATCTTTTCTTCTTTGTTGAATAAACTGGAAATGCCAAGTTCACTTTGCAACAATCATCCACGCATACACAAATTGTTAAATATAATTTTACTAGAAATGCTAAAGATGCTAATGCAGCAGCCCTGTAAAATTAAGAAAAAATAACTATGTATGTACAATATCTGGAACAATCTATGGAGAAGAGTTTATTGAGATAGAAAGACCTACAAAATATATATAAGAGAAACTGAAACGAAGACCAATACAATTTGGCTTCCCAATTTGCACCAGAATTACAGGAACGATGTAAATCCTGATAATTCATTAAAAGAACCAAAACTGACCTAAATTAACTTTCTAGTTCACTTCGTATCCAGTCTTGTGCACACATCAATGCTTGGATGGTAGCTGGGTTCATTGAACTCCAATCACGATCGAGCACTCTTCCTCCAGTGTTGAACGTAGAGTCTATTGAAACTTTTGACACAGGAATTCCCAACACATTGCGTGCCATCATAGATAGGATAGGGTACCTAGGTGCGTGAACTTTCCACCAATTTAATATGTCAAACTCTGCATTGCGAGGAAAGAGAGGCTCCTCCAAATACTTGTCCAAATCCGACTTTGTCCCATCAATCTCAGTAGTTTCATGCAGAAATTTATCAAAACCAGTCAGCCTATCCCTCAAGTCCCTTCCAGAACCAGGCAAGCGAGAACTACCACCTACTTGCCAAGCCAGACCTTGATCAACATAAGCTAAGCAGGTTGAATGTTCATTATATAGTGTTTTGACACACTCAAAAACATCAGAAATTCGGCCTGGAGCACCACTGCCAAAGAATTGGGCATAATAATAATCTACCGGTTTCATCTTGAATCGAGGATCTAACATGACTGCAACTGCTAAACTCAAGCTACATCTCATCCAATATTCTTCAAATTTGCTTCTCATCTTCAAAGCCAGAGAACTAATGTAATCATCTGCATTCTTGCACCACTCATTCAGCTGCGAGTATACTTCACAAAGCTCAGGAAAATACAAATTTGCAGTTGGAGACTTGAATCTTGTGAAAACATTGGTAACCCCAACAAAGAGCTTTAAGTAGCTAGTAATGATGTTCACCCTATCCCATTCGACATCAGACAGGCACATGGCGTAGACAGGGTCATTTTCTTGCAAAAGAGCAAATGCGTCCCTGTACTCCAAAGCAATTTCAACCATAACGTATGTTGAGTTCCATTGCAATGGATTATCTAGGCATAAGCACCTCCTACTCTCACCTCCAACTTGGTGAACTATCGAGTTGAATTTTTCTTGTATTACTTCTGAACTTTTGACATACCGAATACTTCCTCGAATCTTATCAGTCATCCCACATAGTGCTTCCAGAGCATCCTGAGACATCATATTAATAACATTTGCTGCACAGCGTACATCAAATAACTGACCATCACAAGAAAGCAGCTTGTTCTGGGACAGCCTGTCTCTGATTCTAAATACTACGTTGTCATTGGTGGAATAACTATCAAATGTCATGGAAAACAAATTACGGTCAATATCCCAATCCATTAAAGATTCCATTATAATTTCTGAATGCTTGTCTTCTGTATGAGAAGAATCAACGACAATAAAATTTAAAATCTTCTTATTTAACTGCCAAGACTCATCAATATAGTGTGCTGTCAAACACAAGTACTCAGTACCATCCAAAGAAGCCCACATATCCACCGTAAGGCTGATCTTACCAGGCAATTTACCCAACATGTCTTTCACCTTTTGCTTCTCTTTCCCATAGATCTCCATACAGTCAGCCTCAACTCTTTCAGATGTCACAAGCTCAAATAATGGCTGTAGATTTTTGACAAACACTCTGAATCCAACATGCTCAACCATATCCAATGGATAACCATGTAAAATGATCATTCGGGCAAGATCAAATCTACTCCGCCTTTGATCAAAGTTACCACTTCCATAGTTAATGATGTCATCTTTGGTCTGCTCTTGCTCAAATCTGATATTCACAAGGTTAAAAGCTTCATCCTTCTTCTGCTCTTGATCCAAATTTAAATAAGTTCCTTCCTTTTTCTTTTCTCTTGCTGCAAAGAGTTGAGGTATGCCAAGATTAGATCTT